TTACATCTACCATAACTCACAACTCAACCTGGCCTGTAGCATCTTCCTCTTGTAAATGAAGCTTATTTAATCCCCTCTCTGAAGCCTGAGTGATTAATTAAATGCCGCAGGACTAAAAAATGACATAGTTTGCATAGTTTACGGCCACTTGCTCTCACTGAGGCACACAAATCAGAGGTGCCTGCAGCCACGAAACGCTCTCCATCTGCTCAACTTTTACTCACGTCTGTTACAAATTAAGCTTAAGTGCAGAGATGGAGATAAGCTGCTCATGTGGAAAAACAAACATAAATTCATCGTACATTAATCTTATTATATTATCTTTAAACAATAATGCAATTTTTGGATAAAGACGAGGATTTGTTGATTTAATGCTGAGATATAAATTCAGTGTGTAACAAAGTAAGGATTAAACGCAGAAACGTTAAAGGTCATGCTCGGGTTCTGTGGAATCCCATTAAAGTCTGTATTAGCAAATCTTACATCTAACAATAAAATTACCTTCAATATTTGTGTGGCAAACATAATAGCAAGCTGTTAAAAGCATTCCTTCAGAGTCGCAGTCCAATCTGGAGCTGGACTCGTTCCTTGGACTTCATAACTAGCAGACGGGACGAACTCTGAGCAGCCATGATGTTGGAATGCTTCAAACTTACATTGTGCATTTATCTCACCTTCTACCTCTTCTGGTCAGAAATTATTTTTAAGTCTTGTTATTACTGAGAAAACCTGTGGCTGGCTGATCACACTACAGTACATTAAGAGTACATTAACACAAGAAGAGATGTAGTGTGTTACCTCTACATCTCGGAGGCTTGCCGCGGTAGGAAGCAGCTGATTCAGGCCTGTGACTTCCTCACTTTCCGAGGTTTCTACCCTTTTCTACCCTTTCACCTGTTTTTTTAACTTATAGGGTTGTATTTTATCTGAAAGACAAGAGTCAATTTGAGTTAATAAACATCAAAGTAAATAAAATTGCAAAAAATATACATTTTAAACTGTAAAATCCTAAATAAAAACAGAGAGACACATATTTTTATGAAGCTAAATGTGGCAGAGAAATCACTGCAGGCCTTTGGTTGGTCCTTTGACCAGCCTTGCCTGAGTGTTTTTTTTTTATTCAGCATTGATATGACCAACGTTGTGCTGTAATAACCTGGGCAAGTTCAAATCATGGCTTGCAGCAAGATTGTTTTAAAGAGGCATCTTTGCTATCTATCCATAGCTGGTGAACATCTGCCAAAGGCAAAGGCTGATAGAGGAAGACTCTCCAACACAGAGGGAGTTGAACTAACACTCTGGATCTTCAAACTAAGTGGTAAAAGGAACAGACCACAAAAATATTCTAAGAAACTAAGCAGGAAGAATTTAAGTCACTATTCTTTGTTCTCTACTCTGACAATAGTGAACACAAGGAAATGAAATGAAGATGACCAGACCTGCTGGCGACCGATACACCACAAGGAAATTATTGAAGCATAAACACAAAAGAAAAACAACAATACAGCAATCTCATGCTCCATAATATAATTCAGAAAGAACATGCCAAATAACTATTTTCATAATGTCTAAATGTAAAACATCATGCACTGCCAATGAATGCTTCACAGTCAACGATTCCTGAGTTTAAAAAGCACCAAAATAGGAGTAATAATGATTTTGTTAAACACTGACTTTGTTATAAACTGAATCATTTTCAGACATTGGATATGTACAGCAAAAAATAAATAACTTCTTTGCTAAGAGAAAAACAACTTGAGGAACAAGCAATCTCATTGCAGTGACATGAAATGACAGGACTTTTCTTTGAGGCTTTAAATGTTTCATTCCTCACAACCAAAGAGCCTCTGCCAGGAGTTTGCAGCTTGTTGCTCATCCTTAATATGCATGAGGACATCAAAACGCAGGAGAACGACTCTGCTTTAATCTCTCATTTTCCTTTTTTATTTTTTTAACATACCAGTTGAATTGAGTGCCCTCCTCACACTTGAACTACATTACTTTCCCTGCACTTTTGCACACTCACAGACAAACACACTAAAACCCATCTTCGACCCTCAGGCTAATTTCCTATTTCCACGCGGCGCCTTGTCCTAATCCTTGGTTTGGCTTTGCTGAACCAAACACACACAAACACAGTCTTTAATAGACAAACACACACAGAGATGGAGGGCAACCTTCCCATCAGCAGCCTGAGGGAGCCCTAAAGGCCTTTATTAACTTTGGACACACATTAAATAAGAATGAATTAATAATATTCCACAATGACAGAATTAGGATTCATTTGTTGGTCATTTTTGAATGTGAACACCATGAAAACCACCGAGTTAAGTATTCTTTAATGCAGAGAAAACGTCAGGCATGTGGCTGCCTATGTGTGAACACGCAAAGTATTTTGAATATTTTTAATGCCCGAATTACATACTAAAGTCATAATTCAGGCAATACATTTGCTATGTTTAATGATGGATTTATAGAAAACCATTTTACAATAGGTTTCTCTTTACTGGTGCAATCTTCATACACAATCAAAAGGCCAAATATGCAGCTTAAAGAGCCTTTTATGCTATAAGCCAGTTGGATAATTAAAGGTTTTACTACGCTGCTGTGTTTTTAAGGCAATTTAATAATAAAAACATCCTGCAACATTTAACATCATATATGCAGATGTGCATGTCAATGTTGTGAAAACACCTCGCAAGAAGCAGACGACCAAAATTATTCAATAATCCCATTTTATTTTATGTTCACAATACCACCATGCTATGTTTAATAAGGCAGGCACGCAGTTGATGACCCTGGAAAAGAGCCACACCTGCACAAAATTACCTACATGTGAAAACACTCATCCACACTGAAGGTTTTTAACTCTCCGGTTATAAGTCTTAATCACAAGTCAATGGAGCAAGCAAAGAGGCTGCTGGGCTGAGGGCAGCACATACACACACATTTAGTTTGCACAACTCATTTCACAAATGCAGACCAGTGGTGGGCTCCACAGACTCCCCGGGGACTCACAGATTAGCCTTGGCTGAAGCAGCTAATCCTCTCACATACCTACTAACACATTTCCTTTTTTTTGCCCCTTTTCTTTCTTTTTCCGAATGCACCTGGGAGTGGAGTTTGCTGAAAGCAGCAAAGATCACAGAACGATAGTGAAATTTATCATGTAATATTTTTAAAAATGTTACTCCTACAGTACAAAAAAAAAGACACAAGCATTTGTCATTTTCAGTGAAGTTTTGGTTTAGTTATTTTATGTTAAATCATGAAAATCAGAAACAGCATCTGAGATGGTAAGAGTCAAGTTTTAAAACCAGATAAGTTTATTTCTGTTCAAGAACGATTTAAATATTATTTTTCAACTCTGGAATCCAGTACAGAAATGCTGCATTTCTTTACTGAAAGCAAAGTGAGGCCTTTTGACAACCATTTTTTTTTTTGTTCTGGACAAAAAAATACATGGATTCATCTGCATTTTAACAAGTAAATGAAAACACCAAAGTTTATTGGGAAAGCTAGCGGTGAGTCCTAACCGCATACACACCCACTCACAGTAAATTCAGAAGAAGATGTCAGGAATGAACGCTTCTGACATTTGCACTCTCGCTTGTCAACCCAGAGGAACATCTGTGGAAAATTTATGGCTGCAGCATGTGTGAGAGCCGTGCAAACTTCTGTTCCTTTCAATCCCAGGAAATAATCATGTCCTCAACTTAATCACCCAAGAGCATTGAAAACCTTATTGTAGAGCAGGGTATAAATCAAAACATTTAAAAACATCTTATTTTCACTTCCTTAGTTTTGTTTTGGTTTGTACAGAGTTTTGCTGCAGTATATGTATAAAATGTTTTACTAAAAATATTTGTCATGCAGGTGACAAGCAGGTGATTTGTTTGTAGCTGATTTCAAAATGACGTGCCCACCTATAATGAAATGAGAACTCAGAGCGCAACATGAGTTTCGGCCAGTATGTGTGCTTTGCAAAGAGCAGAGAAAATCAATCTCTGCTCAGGTATACACTGAAAAAAATAAGTCATTGGATGAACATAAAAAAATTATGGAAAGGATTTCCACCTGATTACTTTGCTTTATTTCAGCACCATGTACTTGTGTTACTCCTATTTAAAGCAAATGTGTTAGGTCAACCTAATTTATTAAGATTATTCCAATGTAAAGCAAATGTGTTGGCTCCACTTGTTACAATGGTGATTCAATGGGATTCTAAATCAAACATGTTGGCTCAACGTAATATATTGTGGTTATTCTTATATAAATAAAATGAGTTGGCAAAACATAATTCATTAAGGTTGTTCTAATTTAAACCAAATAGTTGGCTTAACCAGAATTATGGTAAGGCAATGGATGATTGTAAATCAAATGAGTTGGCTCAACTCCATTCATTAAGGTTATTCAAATTCAAATGAAATGTGTTGGCTCAACATATGTTTTAAAGGTTCCTTTAACTCAGTTACTATAGCATGACCCAGTGTAGTGCAATACAGCCCGCCCAACTAATCTGCAATGTTTAGGACCAAATCATTGATGTAACTTCATTAAGATGAATGTAAATCTAGTTGAAACCACCTTATTTTACAGTGGTACCTTCACACTACCTGATTCAGTAGGTCCAACTCACTAAAAAGCAAGTTAGCTCAACAAATATGCTTCATGCTAAAACACAACTAGTTAATCATGTGGAAATCCTTTCCATATTTCATGATGTTAATTCAAAGACATATTTTCAAGCGTTAATCAAGCATTTTAAGATAGCACTAGGTGAAAGTGTAGGAAGAACACTCAACAATTAGAAAAGGTACAACACAATTGTATTTTCAGAATTGTTATACATCGTTTTTTTACACAGCACAAAACACAGCTGAGTTGGACATTGAAATAAAAAACAACTACAGTTTCATTTCCCAGCCAATTCTTTACAACATAAAACATGTCAGTATAGTTGCTCAACTTAGAGAACTGTAACAATATAAAATCTTTTCTACTGCAGACTTTAAACACTCATTTTCCATGTGAAACTTTGCTCAACTTAGCAGCGAGTTTCATATTGAGAACTTGTGCTTTCTTTGATAAGTTCTTTCCATCCAATTTCATTATTATTTTCTGTATTACTTCAAAGGTATGCTTGAGTTACTGAGCAAGTTGAGTGCTGAACGCACTAAACTTGAGGGTAGCTCAAGTTTAGTGCATAGATTAGTCCCAGCAGCATCACTATTGCAGAAGATACACTGCCCAAGCTGTTCATAACTTCCACCTCCTCCAGGACAATCCCAACATCCAGATGTGCATCGGCAGCCTCTGCACCCTCTGCTCAAATGACGATTCCGAGGACAGCCTCGGCTTTGGCCATTTCTGCGCATTCATCAACGTCCTAAGGGAGTTAGGGAAGGGTATTGGGGGAGAGACAATTCACATGTAATTAAATAAATAAATTAGACTGACATTGATTGAGTCACTCATGGACCTTAGTTGGTGAAAGTATTTTAACAACTCTTAGGAGTTCTATTGTAAACACAAAGAGAATTTAACATACCATGTACTCCCTCACCAGCTTCTCTGGATCTTCATTTAGGTACACACAGACATTTGAGGATGCACTCTCGTCTGACCTCAGCAGTGTCTTCCTAAATATGCAGATCAAAAAACAATGAGAACAATCTCAAAACTCCAGCAGTATAGGTTCACACACTTGAAAACATAGCTACATTCAAAGGAAGTCACAACAAAAGTGATCAGTGGCTTGCAGTCTATTTGAAAGATATTTAAAATTGTTAGTATCCCTTCATTATGCCATGACTAAAATGGAGTTTAACATCTCATTTAAACATCTAACTGAAGCTGTTAGAGGTTTAAATAAAGACATGAATATATCACCAAAGAAATATGTGAAAAGTACAGAATGGTCAACACAGTCTATATCCTTCTACTTAAATGAATATGCAAAGCATTCCATGTCTTACAAGTACATGGACAGTCTATGTGTGGGCATGGATAACGTCGCATATGCCGGTGTTTAAGTGTAAAATGTTTTAACAGGTCATATCTACGAGACAGAGAGAGACTACACTCCTTACATTTCCACATCCCACGCAAATAAAGACAAATAAAACAGACTGGCCAAATAAATGTTTAGCTGAACTCTAGCTCTATAAGCTCTCTAACACTACATTCAGTCACTTTAGATCTGGCAAAACTTACTATTAGCCACTGAAATCTATAACTTGATAGCCGATGAGCCCTTGACTAGTACTTACGCAGGTGGATTACAGACAGGTGATGTTCTGAAAGAGATCAGATATATTTTCAGCCATTAAAATATGCAATTCATACTGAACTGAGTTGTATCTTTTAGTACAAGTCCCTTGAATGCCTCATGAATATAACCACTGGACACTTGTATGCAAGCACATATGTGCAGAACAATGGTGAATTGAACATGGTAGAAAGCAATAGTAACAAAGGTCAAAATGAGCACAAACAATCAACACAAAAAACATCAAACATTTCAAAATTAAACCAATGAACTTCAATATTGTTTCTGAGCTACAATTATTTGGGGAGAACAAAGAAGAGTCCAAAAAACCCCAACATCTTTACAGCAGAGGAATATGTATTTTAAAGAAAAAAAATAGAAAGCTCAAGTCTGTAATAATGGATAATCCATTGAGAGTTTTAGCCTGACAAAATATACTAGAAATCCATAACTAACAGGTATTTTAGGAACATTTAACAAAGCTCAGAAAGCAATGCTTTCTGCAGGTTTCACCGACTGAAATGTAGGACTTTTTATTACCATAATTAATTAAGAATCTCGATGATGATAGAAAGGTACCAAAGTGTGTGTGTGTATCTACATTTACCTCCATAGTAACATTACTGAAATAGAATTAAAATAGTTAGAAATAGACTGATGTTAGATCCGTGTGTTAAAAATCCTCTAAACCTCCAGGGAGCTCAGGAGGAGCAAAACTGTGACATTTCTGGGGTCCATTTGTGTCTCTGGCAGCAGCTTTGTACACTACATATGGCTCTGCAGACTAACATGGTGCGGCGATAAATGTAAACAAAAAGCTATCTGCCTTAACCTAACCGACTTAATCTACAGAACATGAAATAATGTGACACAAGTATGGAACAAGTAGAAAATGGTGCAAATGGTAGAGAAATTTTAAGTTACATATTTTTATATGGATTTAGATGAAAATAGTTTGACTCTTACCTTCTTCAAATTAAGTAGATGCACGCCAGGAATCTCCCCTCTGCCCTTGAAAAAACCCAACAAGGTGCAAGCCAGTTATCTCGCGTGATTTTCCGTAATCTCTTGATGTCGCTGGATCCTCTTCAGCGGGAGATGAGTCTGACACAATAGCGCTTTGGAACTGACGTCACTGTGTTTTTTTTTATTAGATTAACTTTGACAAATATTGATATTGAATAAAATAAAAAAAAAACATATATATATATATATATATATATATATATATATATATATATATATATATATATATATATATGTATATGTATATATATATATAAATATATATATATATATATATATATATATATATATATATATATATATATATATATATATATATATATATATATATATATATATATATATATATATATATATATATATATATATATATATATATATATATTATATATATATATATATATATATATTGGCACAGCCAAGATACTGCGCAGGACCCTCAAGCTCCCAGGCCTCTGGTAGAGGCCTGGGAGCTTGAGGAATTAGATGTATTCAAGTTGAGATAACGTCATTCAATCACGTTAGTTCAGTTGAGAGAAAAAACCGATTGTCTCGCGTGTTCTCGCGTGATATCCCGTGATCTCACTCGTTGTCGTCAGCACAATATCAGTCTAACTATAATGAATCATGTTAGCTCAACATGATTCAATTTTATAAATGTGAAGTCGTGGAATATCTTGTTTATCCAACATGATTTTATCACGTTTTCGCTTCAAACCCAACATTATTGTGTGAAAGGTACATGATATTTTTTGTTAATGTAATACGCCCCGACGTTCTTTTTTTTTTTTGGCGGAAGATCTAGCTGACGTAATTGAATCACGTTATCTCACCTTGAATACATTTTATTCCATTTGCGAGAAAAAACCGATTGTCTCGCGTATTCTCGCGTGATATCCCGTGATTTCCCGTAATCTTGCGTGAACTTGCGTAATATCGCGTGATCTCACTCGTGGTCTTCAGCATAGGATCGGTCTGACTATAATGAATCATGTTCGCTCAACATGATTCAATTTTATAAACGTTGAAGTTGTGGAATATCTTGTTTATGCAACATGATTGTATCATGTTTTTTGGCTCAAACATGCAATTATTTAGTTAACAGTACATGATATTCTTTTGTTAATGTGATAACCCTGAGGTTCCTTTTTTACAGTGTACAAAGAAAGACGGAGCAGTGGAAGAAGTCAGAGAGGTGAAGGGGTTTGTCTCCAGAGGATTCACTGAAACCACTCTGCTTTTCCCTTAACCTTTCTGTTCCTGCTGCCAATTTACTGAAACCTTTTTCAATAAGAAAAGAAAACTCTGTATGCTCATACGCAGATGTTTATTCAAATGAGCAAAACTTAAATAACACAAAAAGTTTAACACTATAGATAGCCGTAAATTTGATCATTTGGAACGTAAATGTCAGAAGGATGGGATCTTTGCTGTTGTCACTTAGAAATTTGTAAGTTTTCCCTTGTTGTGACAGTAAAATTCAAAACTTTATTGCACTTATTGTGATCTGATAGATCATTACTAATTACTTTGCAGAACTGTTTTTGCTACACTTTACAGCTACAGATTTCCTGGGATATGTCTTCTTCATTTTTGCACATTTAAAGATAAATATTTACAAAAAATAGCAGAAAGTCAGATATATTAAATGGAAAATGTCTGTGAATTGTTTATTTCAAGCTGCAGACTCTAAGTCAGATTTAGCTGTAGACTGAGTCATTAATTGTAGCAGGCTGTGTGTTGGGGTCGTACAGCTGGAAGATGAATCTTCTACAGTCAGAGCTCCATGCAGCCTTCATCCAGATTTCCCCAAAGACTCTCATGTATTTAACTCCATCCATCTTACAACCAACTCTGACCCTGATGAAGAAAAACATTCCCACAAGCATGATGCTGCCATCACCATGTTTCACTGCAGAGAAGACAGAATATTCTTTCTTTTTTGCCATTTCAGTCCATTTTTGTTGCATCTGACCATAAGACCTTCTGACAAATTCAAGACATACTCTTTTCTCTACAAGGCTCACTTTAGATAGGTTTTCTTCAAATAATTTCTTTCTTCCTTAGGTGAACAGCTATGTTATTGTCATTTATGTTTGGAAAACATTTATATACTATGTATCATAATGCTTCCACTTTACAATTACACACTGATTTGTGTTAGTATATTGTAAATGTTAGTCCATTGTGTAAAATCCTAAGAAAAATACTGTTACTTTGTGTTTGTCATGTGACAAGATGTAAAAAAACACTTAGAGGTGTTAATACTTTTGCAAGGCACTGTCAACCAGCTCTTTTAAAGGATATTATCAATAATCATTCTTTTATAATATTCTGGTCCTTTTTGTAAACTGGTCTTAAAAATAGCAATCTTGTTAATTTCATGTTCTTAAAGTGTAGTTTTTGGTCAGACATGTTTTCTTTCACATAATAAATGTGAAAGAAATAAATAGTCTAAAATGGGTAGAAACTTTACAGTCTGATTTACCTGTAAACTGATGATTGTTTTTTCTTTAGAGAAATAAGCAAAAGGAGAGTCATTAGATCCACATTTATTTAGCAGGACCTTTACCTGTGTTAGGAAATGACTGGCTGCATTGTCACACTGGACAAAGCCCAAATAGATGAGCACCTGCTAAATTTCCATTAGTCCCATAAGAGTAATAATGCAAATTAAATTCAGCATAACATGTGACGCTACTGTTGTGAAAAGTTTACAACAACCACACTTAATTCAGGCAGAAAGCTTGACAACACATAATCACTCCCCTGCTACAACTTTACCACAAGTATCCGATGGTTTTGCAGCAACTAAGCCTTCTGCAAAGTAACTAAGACGGGGTCACAAAGTCAAAGGTTAAACCACTTTGGCTCCTGGTGGGAGATTTGGTTTCCTGAGGTTCGTATGTGTGTGTGAGCGTGTCTTATTTAGCCACATCAGCTCTCCATAAAAATCCTCTCCTCCTGCTGACCACTGGCTTAATATCCTGTGTGGTTTGGTATGTCGGTTCACACATGCTTCTTTTTTATTTCTCTTCTGTCCCCGAGCTTTTTATTCCCAGTCATGTTTGGGTTACTTACAATGTTTTCCTTGTATTTCATTTTGAACCAAAAAAAAAAAAAAAAACCTTAATTTCCTTCTTTGTTCACCTAAATTCTTCTTCTGTACTTTTTATTCAGTCTCTTAAATTCACTCTGTCCATCATTTACAAACTCCTAGATCTACTTACAATGACTGTCTGAAACCCTGTGGCAAAATAAAAGCAGATTATAGTAGATTTTCTAAATTGAACAGAGAGAAAAGGGTCAGGAGAAGGTCTACTTTTAAAGGATTATCACTTTTAAACCCCTAAAGAAATAAAAGGACACTCTTTTCATTTAAAGGGATTGACACCCAGTGGGTTTGGCTCTGCTAACAACAATCTGCCAGTTTGGCTTCAGGATTAACTTTCACCTCTTTCATTACCTGTTTAGGTATTTTGGAAAATTTTTGTCAATCAAAACGAGACTTACATTAAGCTATTGATCCAAATGCATTATGAAGAGAACATTTTCAATTATCAGCCTCATTAAATTTGGACACAGCAGTTAAGCAACTTCATTTTGTAGCATTAGGCAGAATCCTGCACATCATTTCTAACAAAAATGTCTAAAACTGCCTATTAAGTAGTTTGAGATACTTTGTCTCTGGTTCAGCTATACAAAACAAAAACTGTAACAAACTCCTATATGATACAAACTATTTCCATTGTTTGACTCTTATATGATCCAAATAATAGGGATAGTAACGCTCTTATTTTAGCTTCAGTGGGACACAGTTATTTTCAAAATAAAAGTAAAAAATCTAAACATCAGTTTGTTTAATTTTGTTCATTAAACAATGTTTTCTTTGTGAAGTGCACAAGTTCTGACAAATAAAGAGTGAGAATATGTTGCGAGACGACATGCATTGTGAGTCGGTGCTTTTCAAAGAAACTTATTGAAACCCATGATGCTGATTACTGGAACGATTTTTTTTTCTTTTGTATCTAAACAAAATGTGTCACAGAGCAAATACAGATAAGTGAAAAGCTAAAATCTCCAAAGCAGCACTTTTATTTTTCAAAGACTGGATGTAAAATCTAAAACGTTCTGAGGCATATCAGTACTTCCACAGTGATTTACCTTTCTTGAAGGATGTCAAACTCCATTTCATGCACCTGAAAGCAGAAGTGGAGTCCAGTCAGAGCTTTAACTCAACACATCGACAGGCTTAATTACCAGTGACATCGTCAGCTTGAATGCAGACAGTCTATCTCTCCTGAGGCTTTGGACGAGTCTGACAGGGTTATTGAGAATGTGATCAAGGGATGTCATCCACCAGGGTGATAGTGGAGGGAAAAAACTAGTATTGATCACCTAAAATCATACGTGGTCTACTATCAGCAGAAACATTTCCACATGGCCGTATTCTTCTCTGCTGGTTGGTCACAACCCCACAATGACACAAGTTAATGATTTTCCTCTGTGGGTTTGAGGTAAAAGAAACCAACATACATGGTTTTTAGTTGTTACATTCAGTGCAGATGCAGCTGCCACATTTTTATGGTTTATCGTTTGTTGCTGAAAGATTGATCCCATTTCATTCCGGGTGCAAGTTCAACACATGCTAGTTGAAGCCACATCTGCTTTTGTTATCACAAGCGCAGCCACAAACAGAGCCACAACAAAAGTCCTGTCTGAGTGCTGGCTGTGTCATCTGTAGGTGTATTGTTCCCAAACAGCCAAAGAAAAATTAACTGCAAACAAGTTATCCGAAAAATACAGTTTGAAACCATGATTAGCAATCAAAATAAACAGCTTCTGCTCTCTTGTTGAATGTTGAGAGTGCTTGTGGTAATGTAAAAAAACTAAACAAAAAAAACACATTTTAAATTCAGAAGAGCTTTTACACATGGGAAAAAAAAGCCTCCAAACTAAATGTCTGTTATTCCGATGTGACGCAGATCTATGTGTGAAACTATTAAAACTAAGATTGGGCTATCTTAAAAAAATTCACTCTTTAAACGTAACAAGCACTACGAGTGAATGCTCTTTGTTGTCACAGCTACTTAAGGCATGAGGACCTGTCAGCGACAGCAAGGACAGAGAGGGGCAGATAAAAAGCAGAAACAGACAGGAGCGATGTGGTGGGGACAAAGACAGCAGATCCAGGGAGGAGACAGGTGGAGATGGGGGAGCGGACAAATGACGGGAGCAAACTCCGGAGAGGACTCCTGATGCAGAAAGAGGTCGGCTGGGAGGAAAGCCTTGAAGGATCAGCCTGAAGCAGCGCCTTCCTCATTAATCACTGCTGGAGAATACACAAGGGAGGGAGCTATAAATATAAAGTAGAAAACCCAGCGCTTTGACAGGGTGTAAAGACTCTACTTGAAAGCAAAAGAGAGAAATACTTATTACTTACATCAAAACTTTTCCTTCAGTAGCCGCAGCGTAAAACTAAAGTGTAAGAGGTTAAATAAAAGCAGAAAAAAGGTTTGAGAAAAGATCAGAGGAAGAGGATGCATAGTGAAAAGAGAGAGGAGAATAAAGCTGTAGAGGGAAATTGCAAAGGGGTAAAAGGATTAAAAGTAGGAGAATATAAATAAAGATGGAGGAGGCCTCTCGGTATCCATGGAGGTAAATATGGAGAATCTCGTAATATGAGGCCTCCAGTAAAGGGTTCCACTTTTTTCTGCCCTCTTCCCTTCATTTCTTTTCTACTTTTCCCTCCTTCTACCCCACTTCCTCTCATCCTCTCTGTGCCCCTCTTCAGCACAATCTCTTTTGTCCTTTTAAGATCCTTTCCCCACCCCTTCATCCCGCTGCACACATATAGGAATTAATCTGAGAAATTTACATGAGAAAAGGCTTTTTCAGAAGTTCTTATAGAGCCGATCAGAGGCAGAACAGAACTTATTGCCATGTCTGCCTTTTGACTCTTTCTTGCCCAGAAAACCATCAACAGGAAGATAATATGTGAAACAAATTAGTGTTGTAAATATATTTGACGAGGCACATACAGTATTAACTGTGACTGTCATTGATTTACCGCTGCTTTTTGGATGCTGACACGTCTAACCACCTCCTTCTTGATTACAACATCTCAGATTTACCACACAAACGCAGATTAGAATAAAAAATTCACTCAGATGCTGAGAAATAATATATTCTACTGTAATTAGATTGAGGAGTTAAGAAGAAAAGGAAGATATATGCTTTGGTCATTTAAGTTGAATTACATTATTTACCAGCAGAGGGCAGAAAAGACTCTCTTTTGTAAAAGCACCTGAAACAAAACGAAAAGAGCATATAATAATCTTCCAACAACATTGAACTGTGAACTCTAGATTTTACTGCTCTATTATTGTCTAGTAGATATGAAGGTAAAACTATCTGATTGGACTTTGATCTAAGGATTCATGAATAGTTGTTCGTTTCAAAACTGAATGGAATATAAAGAGTATGAAAGTGATTTAAATGCAGTTTTTGGTTTAGTTGGTTGTTTTATTTTACTATTGGAGTCTTTTCTTGAACAATTTTGGCTTTGACTTAGACACACAGACTCTTGGCTGTTAAAGGTTTTTGTTGTGTGTTTAATCCTGTCACTCAAGATTTGAAATTACACTTGGATATGTTCACATGCACACAAATGCATTGTGATATGTTCACACTCTTTTATTTTCAGTTCAGATATTCAACGTTTCCCATCATGTCAGCAACCCAAACACTCCTCTGTTCAGTTCATGCTATCCATAACCAGCAGCACTTTCTCTCCATTCCCATTATTTTTTCTTTTTCTTGCCCTCACAACTGAACTTTCCTTTATTTGAATTGTCTGTGTGTTTTAACCATGCTCCCCCTGCTGAGTGACAAATCTTTTCACCAAAGAGGCAATCAGTCAAGCGCAGAAACACACAAACACTCACAGATCGTGCATGCAATAAACGTCACAGTTGCCTAATAGGTCCAAATTCAATCTCATCTGGGTTCTGTTTGAACCAGTAGCTGGTACTTGGATGATAGCTGCAAAGTTTGCGGAAAGTGATCCAAGCCAGAATAATGATTCTGTTTATAGATGTCACACATAGTACTTCACATTGAAATGCAAACATTTGCTATAATTAGAAGGGCAATCTGTGATTTGGTTTGCTCTGCAGGGAGTCTGTTGTCACAGTGAGGTTTCCCATAGCTGGAGACTGAAGGAAAAATCCAGCATCGTACCAGTTTCAAGTCTGACATAGCAACTGCTGAGAAACTCTAATAACTACTCAAGTTATTCAGTATCTCACAATAAAATGAAATAAAATATAACATTACTGTCACATTGATGTAGGGCTATTTGCTAGCAACACAGAAAATACAAAGAGAACACTTTGCAGCAAAGTGAATCATCCATTGTTCTTGATGGTGAAAAATTCATGGTTGTAGGGAAAAGTCCAAATCTATAGTATTTGCAGTCCCACAACCACATATATGCTACAGGGAATAATCATCTATTTGTGGACATAGAGATAATCAGAATAGAAAATGTTTTTTTTTTAGGCAGTTAAATTTTTTAGGTATCCAGTGCCTGGATAATTTTATTGTTCTAAAATACACACAAATACACATATAAACAGGGCTTTGTATAAAATAATTAATTAATAACTGTACATAGCACATGTTTGTATTTTCAAATATCTTAAATTACTTCGTACAAAAACATTGTAAAAATATTTTTTTGATCTCTGAACAAATAAAAAGAAATTTAATTACAGGTTTTAGATTATCTTTAAAAATACATGTTTTCTTAAGAAAAGGAAAAAGTTAAATGTCAGTTTTATCAATCAGCAAATTTGTTTTCAATACAGAATGCAAAATACAATGACAATATTCTGGATTTCATCAAATAGTCTATATAGCAGGCTTGTATTTGATAAAGCTAAAAATGTACATGGCAAATTCAGAAGTAATAAAAAGTTAGTAACCTTTTAATGTTATTGTTTTGAAATAAAAACATGGAAGTCTGTCTAAACAGTGAGGTCAAAACCCAGCGGAAAAAATATTTCACATAATACAAAATAAGTCTAAATTTACTTAGTTTTAAGAGATGCTCTAGAATATTTTATTTTAGTTCACACTTCCCATTAACCACAAACATAAATCACATTTCTTTGATCAATGTATATTATAAAGAAGTCTTAATTTTGTTCTCTTTAATCAAATCATTTGATTTGTCTAAGACATCCTCACTCAAACCAAAAGCCACACATAAACTTTTTTTTTTAAATCTAAAGAAAAAATAAAATTTACATCGCAAGCCAATATTATGTAATCCAGTGTTTCATACTGCCTGCACAAACAGCAGCTCCATCAGAATGTTGACCACAGCTTCACCATTTCTCACACATATATTGCTGACCGTTCTTCAGAGCAACACGCTGCTAAAATATGGTCAATCTGCTATAAAGCTTTACACATATGTTCCTGGTGATACCTGTGATTAAAGTTAGAATTGTGCACTTCAGTGCTAAGCAGTTCTCTGAACTATCATATAAGCTATGATAGTTCATTGTTTGGAGTTTTCAGTGACATAAATTACAAAGCACAGTGTATGCTGTCAGCAGTCAGTCAAATTGTTTCAGTGCCATATCCAGCTTGGGTCTGCTAGTACTACCCTTCAAGTAGGTATGAAAATCTGAGATCATCCAGGCTGAGCTACATTGGATCTACTAATGGAGAACAAATCTGGCTGAGGCAGACCTTAGAGATGATCGAGTGGAAAAGCACCTAAAGAGGTCACACAACAGTCGAAAAACTGTCTCATTTAAGCTCAGAGGTTTCTGCCATATAAAACGCTTCTTCTTCCCATTTATCCGGGGTCAAGTTGAGGGGTCAGCAGCCTAAGGAGGGAGGTCCAGACTTCCCTCTCAAAGCTACTTGTTTCAGCTCTTCCGAGAGAATCCCAAGATGTTCTTAGGTCAGCTGAGAAACATAGACCCTCCAGCATGTACTGAGTCTTCCTCTGGATCTCCTCCTGGTGGGACGTGCCCAGAATACCTCACCAGAGAGGCGACCAGGAGGCATTCTAATCAGATGCCCAAGCCACATCAGCTGGCTCCTCTCGATCTGAGTCCCTCCTAGAGGACTGAGCTTCTCACCCTATCTCTAAGGTAGAGCCCAGACACCCTATGGGGAAAACTAATTTCAACTGATTGTATCCATGACCTCTTTCTTTCGGTCATAACCCAAAGCTCATGACCATAGATGAGGGTAGGAGCTTAGACGGGTAAATCAAGAGCTATGTTTCTTGGCTTAGCTCTCTCTTCACCTCAACAGACTGGTACAGAGCCCACGTCACTGCAGACGCTGCGCCAATCTGCCTGTCATTCTCCTGCTCCACTTCAGGGAGGAGACACACACACAGACCCATTTGGGAGGTAAAAAATTAAGATAATAATTATATGTTATTGTTCTTGCTTTGTAAAATATTATTATTGGGGGGTAAAAAAAGGTTTTCCAGACCGTCACAACTGGGAAGAAACAAAGATTCCCATTAAATTCCATAGGAAATGAATGTGGGTAATTTTGGACCCACTTATGGAAGACAGGGTTAGTGATATACAACATGCTATTTTTTAAAATGTGTAAAAGATTAATTAAAAATTTGAATTGAATGATATCAATAACATGTTTTTTGAGGAATACCTGGAATATAAAGTGATGAAAACTTTTCACTACATAGGTATTGCAAAAGATTACCTCATAGGGTCCAAATAATAAAGATGTATTGAAAAACTCCATTTTGCTTCTAATTGTGTTGTCTTTGACTAATATGTGTTTTTAAATGTTCTGAAACCCTGAAGTGTAACAAATATGCTAAAAAATTAAATCAGGAAGAGGGAAAAGGCTCTAAGTGCTTACAGTCTGTCTAACTTGTGCACTCATAAATCTACAGGTCACACAAAGTCACAGAACCTTTCTCAAACCAGAAGGCTGGAAACAGCTCTGCTGTGAATTTTGCTTTGAACGTATGAATCAAGCTCCGCCCCTCTGACGTTATATTGTAGTAACTTAGAGTTCCTCCCTCCCAGTCAAGAAGCACACCTATTTTGTTGCATGAAAAGATTTTGATTTCTTTTGTGTTTTTATGCATGCCTTTGTCTCCAGTCTCGTTCTCGTTCTCGTTCTTCTTCTCGTTCTTGGTCTTGGTCTCGTTCTCGTTCTTGGTCTTGGCCTCGTTCTTGCTCTTGGTCTTGGTCTTGGTCTCGTTCTCGTTCTTGGTCTTGGTCTCATTCTCCGTCTTGGTCTTGGTTTTGGTCTTGGTCTTGGTCTTGGTCTTGGTCTTGGTTTTGGTCTTGGTCTCGTTCTCCGTCTTGGTTTTGGTCCTGGTCTCGTTCTCCATTTTGGTCTTGTTCTCCGTCTTGGTCTTGGTCTTGGTTTTGGTCTTGGTCTCGTTCTCCGTCTTGGTTTTGGTCTTGGTCTCGTTCTCCATCTTGGTCTTGGTTTTGGTCTTGGTCTCGTTCTCCGTCTTGGTTTTGGTCTTGGCCTCGTTCTTGCTCTTGGTCTTGGTCTCGTTCTCGGTCTTGGTCTCGTTCTCGGTCTTGGTCTCGTTCTCAGTTTTGGTCTCGTTCTCCGTCTTGGTCTTGGTCTCGGAGCAGAGCAAACTCCAGGACTTGTCATTGCATCCCAGACCACCATCACGGTCCCAACTTTTACCCACATCTTTATATGCCACAGCAATTCCCACCCTGCCTTTCCATTCCACTTCCCAGTAACAAAGTCGTTTCAGGCCTTCATCACAAAATATCTGGGTCCTCCTGAATCGTTCATCACTTGTATTTCGCATTTCCAACTTCTTGACATCATTATTAGTTTCCACTCTTTTGCTGTTTTCATTCAGAACAAGCCGTCTGCTTGCTGAGTTCTTATCAAACATAAGATTTACACCATCTGAAAGTGTTCAAGAAGAAAATTAAGTAAGCTTTGTGGTAATTTAAACATTGATAGTTTCAGGATGTGAACTGTGTTTACCATAATGAATCCATAAATTTAAATATTAAATCTGTTAAATATGGAGAATTATGAGTCTTAAAGTATTTTGTGATTTTCTTATATATAAAGTCATATGTTATCTTTATACCCTGTTAAATACCCTTGAGATGATGAAGTTATAACTTTTATTTTCAGACAAACATGTTGTATCTTGTAATACAAAAATGTTAAAGTGTTGAGGGGAAAAAACAGCTTACATTTCCTCCAACCAGGTTTTAGTCGACATTGTCCTCTATAGTCGAAGCTGTGCACAGTAAGACAAGAAAGATTCATTTTATTTTGGAAAAAAATCAGAAAGTCTTTAGATAATAGTTCATTCCTACTTTTTTGAGTTATGAAAGCTTATTATCTTATTCACCACACACTGTGTGTATTAAGTTTAATTCCAGCTCTTTGACTATAACATTTATTATTCAGCCAATAATAAATGTTGGCTGTTACAAAGGCTCTACTCAGACATGGTGCATCATTAAATTAAGCTAGTTTTCTAATAATAGCATTAAGTAATGTCAGATTTATTTACTCACTTCACTGTCTCAAGATTCTTGCTTGGATCCTCAACTATTGCATTGAGAGCCCTCATGCCATTGTCTCCAGGATGATTGTAACTCAGGTCCAAGTGTTTAAGAGATGAGTTTTGATGGGACTCAATAGCTTCAGCCAGAGAAATGCAGCCTTTCTCTGTCACCTGACATCCTGCCAACCTGCACAAAGACACAATTTTGGATTAGAAATAGAGCTCAGCAAAATTTGACTGTGATATAAAAGTCCAGTATTTTATACTATTTTATACTATATATAGATTTATAGATTAATTGCAAAGAATAGAAATAATTCATTGTAGTTTGGAAGGTTATGGCCTACAAATAATGAGTCCAAAATATGGTGTCTTAAACATTAGAATATATTGCAGCTTATTTTTGATAACAATAAATCCATTATTTTCTCATACATTGCTTCTAACATGACATTTAATAATCTTTGAATATATTTGTGTGTAAAACTCAATTATGGTTTAAATGGAAAAGGCCTGAACTTGCCCAGCACTTTATCAATTTCATATGATCCCAATGTCCTATGAACTGCTATGGTCATTCACACACACATTCCACTCCAGTGGTAGCGAGCTACTAGATTATAGCCACAGCCTCCCTGAAAGTGTCTGACAGAGGAGAAGCTGTCATAAACCATCAGGCCCTCTGACCACCAGAAGGAAAGTCAGGTGAAATGTCTTTACCACAACCACAACACAATGGTGTTTAAACTGGAAACCTACTGGTTCCAGAAAAGGAACTGGGAGGTTGAGCCACCGTCACCCTTAAAGGAAAACTTTCAAATTATTTAATTTATACATGGGCTGTTTGTCTCTAAACTTTAGTTTTATCATTCTCAGTACAACTACTGTTGTATTTTCTTGACACTTAACACTAACAAGAATTGCGAACACATAGAATAACCTTAAGTCTTGGGACAAACCAATTTATAAACTCAAAACAGTTTCTAACTATAAAACTGGTTAATATATTAAAATAAAAACCTACTTGAGAGTCTCTAGTTTACAGTTCACATGTTTCAACCCATCAGCAAGTCGCATCACTCCAGCATCCAGCAAATCATTATGACTCATGTCCAGCACTGTGAGGTTGAGGATGGTTTGGTCAGCACTGATGATGTCAGACCGTCACAAGATTCTTCAGAGAGCTCACACCAACTCAGTCTGTAAAAAGATCCATGAAAACAAACACGTTAAATTGACAAACCCATGTGTGATTTTCTTCTAACACAACAAAGGATCACAGTAAAGGAACAAAGTAAAAGTCTTGCTTTAAACAACAGTAAAAGATAAATTATCATGTCTGTGCTGTCAAACTAGACAAATGGCAAAAGCCCAACTCTCATGTATAACATTAATACTTTGATCACAATGAAGAAAATAACTTGAAGTATTGTTTTGAACTAGTAAACTATAGAAAACACTACTTGGAAGCAACTTTAGAGTATTTTTACAATAATATTTTGCAGCTTTCTCTTGTTGAGGTGAAGATTATGATTGAGTGAGTTTGTTTCATCAAGGTTCAAACTGATGGAAGTATGGCATTTGTATGAAGATATTAATTTATGACAGCCTTAAAAGTAAATGGTAATAAATGTAAAAGTAGCTGTTTTATAAAAATACTTACAAAGTAGTGTTTGAGACTTTGACCACTGGCATCAATCCCAGAAGAACTTTCTCTGATTTCAGGTATTTCTTAAGCTCAAACACTTCAAGGTTTTCATCTGATGTCAGCAGCACAAAGGTTAAAGCTGACCACTGAGAAGCAGTGAAAGTTTCAAAAGGTTTTTCTTCTGATTTAAGATAATTTTTGATTTCCTGAACAAGGCTGTGGTCATCCAGCTCTTCAAGACAGTAGAAAAGATTAAGGTTTTTCTCTGGGTCACTGTTCTCTTTGATCTTCTTCTTGATGTTCTCTGCTGCTTCCTTATTAGCATCTTTGTGTTTTTCAGTCTTATCAATCAGATCTTTAAGTAAATCCTGATTAGATTCCAGAGAGAGACCCACTAGGAAGCGAAGGAACATGTCCCAGTCCCCATGTTCATTCTCAAAAGCCATGTCCACTGCATTCTTATAAAACTCTGAGGCAATTGGGTCTGAGGATGCTGAAGTTGGTTCTATGAACACATTTTCCCCTTTGCTATTAAATGAGTGGAAGACATGAAGAGCTGCCATGTACTCTTGAATGCTTTTATGGACAAAGCAAAACATATTCTGAGGGTAAAGATCATGATTTTCTCTTTTGATCTGAGTTAACAATCCAGAGAAAACAGCAGCTTTGGTTACATCAGTCCCACAACTGGTCAAGTCTTCTTCACTAAAGAGAAGGTTTTTCTCCTTCAGCCCTTTGAAAGCAAGTTTCCCCAAAGACAGGATTGTTTCATCATTAGTTTTATCACAAGATGTTTCTGTTCCAGATGTTCCAGAGGTTGACTGATCTGTGTTGTATTTTGCTTTTGTTTGTCTGCGCTGGAGCAAAAGGAAATGTGTGTACATGTCAGTCAGAGTTTTTGGCAGTCCATCATCTTTGTTTCTTGGCAGTCTATCATCTTTGTTTCTTGGCAGTCTATCATTTTTGTTTCTTGGCAGTCTATAAACTTTGTTTCTTGTCAGTCCATCATCTTTGTTTCTTTCAACAAAGTCCTCCAAAACATTTGATGTGATGAAACAGAAAACAGGGATGTGGCACATTATGTAAAGAATTCTTGATTTCTTCACATATGACCAGATTTTTTCAGCCACCTTCTCATCACTGAATCGTTTCATGAAATATTTTTCCTTTTGCTCATCATTAAATCCTCTCACTTCTGTCATTCGATCAATTTTTTCTGGAGGAATGTTGTTGGATGCTGCAGGTCTAGAAGTGATCCAGATTTGAGCTTTAGGGAGCAAATTTCCCAGGATAAGATTTGACAACAGACCATTTATTGAGGTTGGTGTTGTGACATCATGCAATTTATTTGTTTCATTGAACTCAAGATCAAGACGACATTCATCAAAACCATCCAGAACAATCAGTATGTTGTATTTGTCATAGTCAGTTATTTCAGAAGTCCTCATTGCTGGGAAGAACTGATGAATCAGATCTTCTAGACTGCATTCTTTATCTGCTCTCAGATTTAGCTCTCGGAATGGAAGTGGAAAAATGAAATGAATGTTTTCTGTTGCTTTGCCCTCTGCCCAGTCAAGTATGTACTTCATTGAGGCAAATGTTTTTCCTATTCCTGCCACTCCAACAGTGACCACAGTCTTAATGTTTTGATCACTTTTTGCAGGTTTGAAGATGTTACAGTATTTAATAGATGTTTCTTTATTTGTTGTTTTAAACTTTGCATCCTGAATCTGCATGGCTTCATTCTGAGCACGCTCTCCTTCTGTGATGTAGAGGTCAGTGAAAACCTCTTTGAGAAGAGCTGAGGTCTTCTGTCCATCAATCCCTTCAGACACACTGGTGAATTGATCTTTTAGTTGACTTTTGAGTTTTCTTTGACTTGTGATATCAGGCTTCTCTGAAAAAAATACAATATAAATAACCAAAGATTAAATACTTTTGATACAATTATATAGTAAACATTCTTTTGACAAAATATAAAAACACACAATAAAAGACTAGCAATTGTAAACTTTTACCTGTTTCTGTGTGACAAAGGAATTTGTTGTAAAAACTAAACTTGTGCAATTTTCTGTTCATAAGGTTTTCATATACTAAAAATCCAAGCACACAGCAGACTAAAACTTAAAACTACTGGAAAGACCGAGTAAGACTGAGTACCTGAAATGCAAAGTGCCAATGCATGATATGTGGACCAATAAACATGAAGAGATGGATTGTAACTTTATATAACTGTATAAGACGTGTGTCATAAGATTCAACTAGTAAACATCGCCTTTCACCTTCCAACCTTGAAGAAACACTGATCTCAAGCTGCTGGTACTGAAACTCAACGCTCAGCCTAGTTTAGAAATAAATGCTGAAAATACACATCTAGACTTAGGTCAGTTCTGAGAGAATTAAAAAGCAGTTGGGATCGCAGATATACATCGTGTAAATCAGCGTGGTAGAAAACTTGCTTTTAATCCAAGTTACAATGCGTCTTGCTGAAATATTGCTGAAATATTAATGGAAAGGAGAGTTTTATCAGCAACATTTGCAATTTTAGATTTGACAGTGTTGCGGTGCATGAGATTTAGAGTATGTTTTGGGATGCGGATGTCCATTGCCCTTTATAAATCATTAGGCAACTGGTAAATTTGAGGCTTTTAATCAATTTTATTTAATATGCAACTGCTCATAAAAATAAAGGGAACACTCAAATAACACATCCTAGATCTGAATGAATGAAATATTCTCATTGAATACTTTGTCCTGTACAAAGTTGAATGTGCTGACAACAAAATCATTGTTGATTGTCAATCAGTGTTGCTTCCTAAGTGGACAGTTTGATTTCACAGAAGTTTGATTTACTTGGAGTTATACTGTGTTGTTTGAGTGTTCCCTTTATTTTTTTGAACAATATATATATATATATATATATATATATATATATATATATATATAATATATATATATATATATATATATATATATATATATATATATATATATATATATAAATCATCCAAGCCATGCACACCAACCTGTGCATGGCTTGGATTGATTACAAGAAAGCCTATGACTCAATACCGCATACTTGGATCATTGAATGCCTAGAGATGTATAACATCAACAGGATTCTGAGAGCCTTCATTGCAAACTCGATGAAGCTGTGGAAAACCACCCTGAAGCCAACTGCAAACCACTTGCACAAGTGTCCATCAAATGTGGCATATACCAAGGAGATGCTCTGTCCCCGCTACTGTTCTGCATAGGCCTGAACCCCTCAGCCAAATTATCAACAAGACTGGCTACGGATACCGACTCAAAAATGGGGCCAACATCAGTCACCTCCTCTACATGGATGACATCAAGCTGTACGCCAAGAGTGAGCGAGACATCGACTCACTGATCCACACCACCAGGATCTACAGCACTGACATTGGGATGTCATTCGGACTAGAGAAGTGTGGTCGGCTGATCACAAAGAGGGGGAAGGTGATCCGCACAGAAGGAGTCTCACTCCCACAAGGAACAATAGCAGACATAGAGGACAGTTACAAGTACCTGGGTATACCACAAGCAAATGGCAACCTCGATGAGGCCACAAGGAAAGGAGCCACAGCTAAATACCTCCAACGAATAAGGCAAGTCCTGAGAAGCCAGCTCAATGGCAAGAACAAAATCCGAGCGATAAACAGCTATGCCCTGCCAGTAATCAGATACCCTGCTGGAATAATTAGCTGGCCAAAGGAGGAGATAAAAGCCACAGATATTAAGACTAGAAAGCTACTAACCATGCATGGAGGGTTCCACCCCAAATCCAGCACCTGAGACTGTACACGAGCCGCAAGGAAGGAGGCAGAGGACTAGTGAGTGTGAGAACCACTGTCCAGGACGAAACAACTAAGATCCATAAATACATCAGGGACAAAGCCTCAACAGACAATGTGCTCAGTGAATGTCTCAGACAACAGGGAACAGAGGTTGAGGTGCCAGAGATACCATCATGGGAGGACAAGCCCCTACATGGGATGTACCACCAGCAAATAACCCAAGTGGCTGATATCAGTAAATCCTACCAATGGCTGGAAAAAGCTGGACTCACAGAGGCCCTCATCCTGGCCGCCCAGGAACAGGCCCTAAACACCAGAGCAATAGAGGCCCAGATCTACCACACCAGACAAGACCCAAGGTGTAGGTTGTGCAAGGAGGCCCCTGAGACAGTCCAGCACATAGCAGGGTGCAAGATACTGGCAGGGAAAGCGTACATGGAGCGACATAACCAAGTGGCAGGCATAGTGTACAGAAACATCTGTGCAGAATATGGACTGGAAACCCCGAGATCAAAGTGGGAAACACCCCAAAGGTGGTGGAGAACACCAGAGCTAAGATCCTGTGGGACTTCCAGATCCAGACAGACAAAATGGTAATGGCGAACCAACCAGACATTGTCGTAGTGGATAAACATCAGAGGAAAGCCGTTGTGGTAGATGTAGCAATACCAAGTGATTGCAACATCAGGAAAAAGGAGCACGAGAAACTGGAGAAGTACCAGGGCCTCAGGGAGGAACTGGAGAGGCCTGGAAGGTGAAGACCACAGTGGTGCCTGTGGTCATCGGGGCCCTCGGGGCAGTAACCCCCAAACTGGAGCAGTGGCTACAACAGATCCCAGGAACAACATCAGACATCTCAGTCCAGAAATGTGCAGTCCTTGGCACAGCCAAGATACTGCGCAGAACCCTCAAGCTCCCAGGCCTCTGGTAGAGGACCCGAGCTCAGAGGATAAGAACCACCCGCGGTGGGTGAGAAGGGAATTTTTATATATATATATATATATATATATATATATATATATATATATATATATATATATATATATATAATTTTTATATATATATAATTTTTATATATATATAAATATATATATATATATATATATATATATATATATATATATATATATATATATATATATAATTTTTATATATATATATAATTTCCCTTCTCACCCACCGCGGGTGGTTCTTATCCTCTGAGCTCGGGTCCTCTACCAGAGGCCTGGGAGCTTGAGGGTTCTGCGCAGTATCTTGGCTGTGCCAAGGACTGCACATTTCTGGACTGAGATGTCTGATGTTGTTCCTGGGATCTGTTGTAGCCACTGCTCCAGTTTGGGGGTTACTGCCCCGAGGGCCCCGATGGCCACAGGCACCACTGTGGTCTTCACCTTCCAGGCCCTCTCCAGTTCTTCCCTGAGGCCCTGGTATTTCTCCAGTTTCTCGTGCTCCTTTTTCCTGATGTTGTAATCACTTGGTATTGCTACATCTACCACAACGGCTTTCCTCTGATGTTTATCCACTACGACAATGTCTGGTTGGTTCGCCATTACCATTCTGTCTGTCTGGATCTGGAAGTCCCACAGGACCTTAGCTCTGGCGTTCTCCACCACCTTTGGGGGTGTTTCCCACTTTGATCGGGGTTTCCAGTCCATATTCTGCACAGAGGTGTCTGTAGACGATGCCAGCCACTTGGTTATGTCAGTCCATGTACGCCTTCCCTGCCAGTATGTTGCACCCTGCTGTGATGTGGACTGTCTCAGGGGCCTCCTTGCACAACCTACACCTTGGGTCTTGTCTGGTGTGGTAGATCTGGGCCTCTATTGCTCTGGTGTTTAGGGCCTGTTCCTGGGCGGCCAGGATGAGGGCCTCTGTGCTGTCCTTGAGTCCAGCTTTTTCCAGCCATTGGTAGGATTTACTGATATCAGCCACTTGGGTTATTTGCTGGTGGTACATCCCATGTAGGGGCTTGTCCTCCCATGATGGTATCTCTGGCACCTCAACCTCCGTTCCCTGTTGTCTGAGACATTCACTGAGCACATTGTCTGTTGAGGCTTTGTCCCTGATGTATTTATGGATCTTAGTTGTTTCGTCCTGGACAGTGGTTCTCACACTCACTAGTCCTCTGCCTCCTTCCTTGCGGCTCGTGTACAGTCTCAGGGTGCTGGATTTGGGGTGGAACCCTCCATGCATGGTTAGTAGCTTTCTAGTCTTAATATCTGTGGCTTTTATCTCCTCCTTTGGCCAGCTGATTATTCCAGCAGGGTATCTGATTACTGGCAGGGCATAGCTGTTTATCGCACGGATTTTGTTCTTGCCATTGAGCTGGCTTCTCAGGACTTGCCTTATTCGTTGGAGGTATTTAGCTGTGGCTCCTTTCCTTGTGGCCTCATCGAGGTTGCCATTTGCTTGTGGTATACCTAGGTACTTGTAACTGTCCTCTATGTCTGCTATTGTTCCTTGTGGGAGTGAGACTCCTTCTGTGCGGATCACCTTCCCCCTCTTTGTGATCAGCCGACCACACTTCTCTAGTCCGAATGACATCCCAATGTCAGTGCTGTAGATCCTGGTGGTGTGGATCAGTGAGCCGATGTCTCGCTCACTCTTGGCATACAGCTTGATGTCATCCATGTAGAGGAGGTGACTGATGTTGGCCCCATTTTTGAGTCGGTATCCGTAGCCAGTCTTGTTGATAATTTGGCTGAGGGGGTTCAGGCCTATGCAGAACAGTAGCGGGGACAGAGCATTTCCTTGGTATATGCCACATTTGATGGACACTTGTGCAAGTGGTTTGCAGTTGGCTTCAAGGGTGGTTTTCCACAGCTTCATCGAGTTTGCAATGAAGGCTCTCAGAATCCTGTTGATGTTATACATCTCTAGGCATTCAATGATCCAAGTATGCGGCATTGAGTCATAGGCTTTCTTGTAATCGATCCAAGCCATGCACAGATTGGTGTGTCGGGTTTTGCAGTCTCGGGCAACTGTGCGGTCTACGAGGAGTTGCTGTTTGGCTCCTCTGGTATTTACACCGATACCCTTCTGTGCCGTGCTCATGTGTTTATCCATGTGTTTGCTTATCTTGGCCGCTATGATGCCTGACATGAGCTTCCAGGTTGTGGAGAGGCAGGTTATTGGTCGGTAGTTGGGTGGGACTGGACCCTTTGATGGATCCTTCTGGATTAGGATTGTCCGCCCTTCAGTTAACCATTCAGGGTGAGTCCCACTTTGTAGCAGCTGGTTCATTTGGGCTGCCAGTCGCTCATGGAGAGCAGTGAGTTTCTTTAGCCAGTAGGCATGGATCATGTCAGGCCCTGGTGCTGTCCAGTTTTTTATGCCTGAGACTCTTTCTTGAACATCTGTCGCAGTGATGGTTACCGGGGCTTGCTCAGGGAGGTTGCTGTGGTCCTCTCGTAGAGAGATCAGCCACTGTGCATTGCTGTTGTGGGACGCCTCCCTTTCCCATATGCCTTTCCAGTATTGTTCAGTCTCCAGCCTTGGTGGGTCTGCTCTGTTGTTATTACCCTGCCATTGAGAGTACACCTTAGCTGGTTGAGTGGAGAAGAGCCGGTTAATCCTTCTGGATTCATTCTCCCTTGTGTATCTCTTTAGGCGGCTGGCCAAGGCTTGGAGCCTCTGTTTGGCAGTTTCAAGTGCTTCAGGTATGGGCATCTGCCTGTACTTTCTGGGTACTGGTCTTTTCATTGTACCCTTGTGGAGCTCTGACAGTTGGCTCACTTCCCTCCTTGTTACCTTGATTTTAGCCTCTAACCGTCTTTTCCATGGTGGGTATTGGGTCTCATGGTTGCTCTTATAGCCAAGTATCTCAAGGATCACTGATGCTGAGTTGTAGATCAGCTCATTGGTTTCTGTTATGGTGTTGGTAGGGATCGTTCTCAATGCTGCATTCACATTCTCAATGAGACTTTCTGATGGTACTTCACTCAGCCGTTGTAATTGGCGCCGGGGAGGCCTGGTTGTCATTCGGGTCATGATTCTCTCTCTCAGGTCAGCAGCTGTCTCGTTCAGCTCTGTTTCGCTCATTGGGGCCGTGTATCCCCTCACTGGGTGGGGACTTGTAGTTAAGTCCCCACAGTCCTGACATCCGGGTTCCTCCCTTTTGCCGTAGCATTTGTGTTGTATCTCGTCAATCTCAAGTTGTGATAGCAGTTGCCGTTTGCGGATGTTGGAACACTGAGCTACTAGTTGTTTAGCGCTTAGTGTTGACTGGGGATGTCGAAGTAACCATTCCTTCCCCAGTCTTTGCATGTAACCTCTCTCACTAGGGTTACTTGAGTAGTAGCATTCCAACAGATCCACATTTTCATCTCTCGCCCATTTCCGTCTTGTTCCAGTAGCCCATTTGTCATCAAGGTGCTCTGGTTCCCCAACACCTGACGCAGACCTTGTTTGGCCGGGCGACGTCTGAGCCGGCATGTTATGCAACTTAGTATCTCTCATGGTATGAGGTAGGCAGTAGCTTGAAGGGTCTTGCCTAAGGACCCAGACTGGATTCGAACCCTGCCCTCTCGGGTGATATACTGATGCCTTATGTATTGAGCTATCCAGTCAGCTTATGAGCTATCCAGTCAGCTTATTGAGCTATCCAGTCAGCTATATATATATATATATATATATATATATATATATATATATATATATATATATTATATATAATATATTATATATATATATATATATATATATATACCATATATATATATATATATATATATATATATATATATATATATATATATATATATATTTATATACATTTTCGTGTGCATTTTTTTTTTCAAATTTGCCTATTGTGTGAATATAGCCTTAGTTATTGTTTTTTTTTTTATCTGTCAGAGGGGAATTAGTGCTTTTATATATATTTCTTGAAGTGGTTTGCACTTCAGCAAAAGCAACCTGTATGAAAAGAACAATGTAGACGTCATGACACCTAGCAAAGCACTATTTACAAAGAATAATTAAACCATCTTTGGAAGAACTTTGAAGTTGTTGAGCAATGGGAAACAATAGAACTCTCACAAGATTGTAAGACAAAGGAAACGGAGAAAAAAGAAAACAATTGATATCACTGATTTCTTTCACAATTAAATACAAAAAAATAATAATTATCTGTTTTGCCTGTTGTGTGAACCTAGCCTTGATTATTGTGTGGACTTAATGTTTTTTCAATATAGTTTTGTGTTTTTTGGTTTGTTACAGCTTCCTTAATTTTACTTTTATACTTTTACACCATGATACCTAAGCAATATACAATAGTTTCATTGTGACTTATTTAGCATACATGCATAGCTCTCTGGAATGGAAAGGATTTATCCTTGAAACTCATTTTGAAAAATTACATGGCTGATTAATTTATAATCTAACTAAAAACCTAAATTTTTCAAATTTTACTGCTAGTTCAATGCTAGAGAATACAATTAGGTTAAGTGTAATTGTGTGAAATTTGCATCAGCAGATCTTACCTCGTATTTCTGTCAGTCTGTCAATAAAACCATCAGGGATTTTCTCAGCAGCTAGAGGCCGAGAGGTCATCCAGATCTTGGCCTCTGGCAGCAGGTTTCCTTTGATAAGGTTACTTAGTAACGCATCGACTGATGTTTGTTCTCTGATATCAGTCAAGATTTCACTGTTTTCAAAGTCTAAACAATCTTGATATGCATCAAGTCCATCCAAGAGAAATAAAATATTTAACTGGGAATAGTCACAGATGATATTTTTGGTATCGTTGTAGAAGTGATTAAGAAGCTCAAACAAACTGATATTTTTATTTTTTCCTAGATTAAGTTTTGAGAAATCAAGTAGAAATAAAAGTTCCACAGTTTCTGCCGGCCCAGAGAATAACTTTTTAAACCAGGCAAAATATGACTTTTTCTCATTATCCTTTTTAACCCATTCTTTTATAATTTTTTTCATGTGAAAAGATTTTCCTATATCAGCTTCTCCAATGGTCATCACTGTTCTAGTTTTCTTTCCTTTCACATCTTTGAAGATCTCAGAAAGTTGATTCACTTTTGTAAGCTTGTTTTGTTTACTTTCTCCTTCTTCAGAGCCATTTTCTCTTCTGATGACATGTTCTGTTGTTCTCTGGTTTGGATGACTGGTTTCATCTGGTTCGTCAATGATTTCTTTCCGAAATTTATTTTTCAGACGTGATTGTAGCTTCTTCTCCTGCTCATTGGGTTCTAATTGGACAAAGAAAAGTTGTACAGTAATGTAAAATCATATAACTCTTGAATAAAGTCAACAAAATATATGGAATTCTAAATTAAGAATAATTGATTTAGACAGACATTCTTACCTTGACATTGAACAGTTTTGTTGATATGTTTAGAAGGAATCTTATCAACTCCTTTTGGTTGAGAAATTATCCAAATATGAGATTCAGGAAGCAGATTTCCTTTGATCAGATTGGTTAGCAGCTCATCCATTGATGCTGCTTCCTTCAAGTCTTTAACTTCTTTGTTGTTTACAAAGTCAAGAGGAAGTTTGCATTTTTCCAGACCATCAAGAATGAAACATATCTTTTTCTTGTCATCATTGAAAACATTAACGTTTTTATTGCTGAAGAAATTATTCAGCAGAGATTCCATGCTTTGTTCTTCATCCTTCTTTGTATTCAACTCTTTGAAATCAAGAGTTACTGAAGCCTTTATGTGTTCCTTGGAGTTTTCTTTTGCCCAGTCAATCATGAACATTTTTGTTTGGAAAGTTTTACCAACACCAGGGACTCCTTCCATCAGAACAGTTCGCACTTTTTTGGACTTACCCAAAAGTGTGGAAAACTCAAATTTAGTGCTGGTAAATAAATTCTGGGGTGTGATTAGGCTCTTTCTCCAAGTTTCAAACGTTACTATCTCAGAGAGTTTCTTGTCATTTTTATGTTGATGCACCTCCTTGTTTCCCTTGGTATCTCCTCCTGTAATTTTTAAATTAATTATATGTGAACAACAAAAATAATCATAATATATTTGAAAGACATGGTTGACAACAGTCTAATGAATATATTTTCAGCAATAAACCGCAGTAATAACTCATATTTCCTCCTGGCATCCAGCTATACTACACACATTAAAATAACACCAAAAAATTAAAAGTAAACACAAATTCTTACAAATACAAATTAAAATGACATACTTTATCTCTTAAAAATATGGACAATTGGACTTAAAAAATATATATATCTTTTCAAGTCATGCTCACCTTTTTCTGCTGTCCCAGATGTTCCAAATTGGTTCGCATTAGTAACACTGCAGGCACAGACAAAACATTTACCTTTTTTGATTTATATTTATTCAAATGGACATGTTTAATTATGATGTTTAAGGTAAAAGATGGGACAGTAAAGTGATCTTCCCTAGTGCCTGTACTTCATCATATATATTTTAATTAATTAATTACATACATGTTAATGTATTTAAAAAATTAATGCAATTAGTCACTTCTTGTTTTTCATACAAAGGTAGCAAAGCTATTCAGAGTTAAAATACCATCTCAATTCAAAACACTTTGCGGTACACACAGATGTCTTTTCACTGCTGATGAAGCTATATGCCGATGCTACTTGAGTCTGAAAGTTTCCAGTCACTTCTGTAGTACATGATTTGAGCTGACTCATACGGCAAATAATGTAGGCAATATATACTGTAAATGTTTAACAGATGAGAAGTCAACAAAGATCAAGAAAACATTTTATGTGAAAATGCAAACAATACAAAAAGAGAAGATTGATGGATGATATATCAAGGTTTCCTCCTGAAACTTGCTAATCCCAGTGGTTTTGTGTGAAAAATATGTTAAAAGCGGAAAGGTATTTGAGTATTACTAGGTAATGCCAAGCACTAAAAGCATAAAAAATAAATGTAATTTTTTAAATCTCACTTAACTCTTAAGTAATCAGCCATTGCATCACATGCTTTTTCGAAATTCAAAAATTTATTGTATTAAGTTTAAGAACTTACATAAAATACGTTGACCTGTTAAGTAGGCTTACTTTTTACTATCAGAAGGGATGACAACTTTGTCAGATAAAAGTAAAAGAATATTTTTTAAAAAATTCTTCACTATTATGTGCTTTTGTGGCAATATATTGACAAACTTCAATAATTTATACATATTATTGAGGCTATTAGCATTTAAACAACCATTTTTATTGATTGGCAGTTTATCTTACCTAATAAAAAAATAAAAAAATTAGCCATCTAAACACCTCTTACAGAACACCATTGTTTACCTGATTTTTATTCAAACTATGTCTTGTTATTGTTTCTATTTTTATTTTTTTCTAATAATTTCCAAATGAACATAATGCTCTTTGCATTAAAATAATGTTTAAAAGTCACAAAAGCTGTGGAGTTTCTTTTGAGCAGAATTCACTGTGTAACTATAACTAGTGTACATGGTACTGCTTTTTATGTCTGTGGCAATACATGTTAATATTCACGTATTTTACTAAGAAAATACAGGAAATATTCTCAAAGTATCTTACCTTTGATCGTCATTTTCAAGTTTTGAAGATTCATCCTTGGATTTGTCACTTTTCGAACTTGCTGAAGAAGAATTTGTAGTTTGGTGCCGAGGTAAGCTAGAAGACAAACAGCAAAATGCTTTTATATGACAAGCTCTAACAAATCACAATGAGTTTTCAACTTAAAATATTTAAGTTTAACAATGTGATTACCGGTAATTAAAACTTCTGATATTGATAAATATCACTTCTACAATGTAATTTCAGGGCCTGGCTAAGAGTTTAATTCTTAAATTATGAGAATATAGTCATGATATCATGAGAACAACATAATAAATTTGCAATAAATAATGCTTTGCTCACCCATCAAAAGCTATTGTTATTTTTATTGAATTAGAAATTATTAAATTAACCCTTAAATAGGTAGACACGCATATATTTTAAAATGATTTAATTTTCATTTTCCGATGAATCCAGGCTAAAACTACACATTATTATGTTTTTTAAATCGTGGATGAGATTTGTCCTGGGTTCCTTAAGGCTCTGGATGTTGTAGGATTGTGTTGGTTAACGCAACTCTGCAATGTCGCATGGACATCGGGGTCAGTTCCGCTGAATTGGCAGACTGTGGTGGTGGTCCCCCTGTTTAAAAAGGGGGACCGGAGGGTGTGCTCCAATTATAGAGGGGTCACACTCCATCACTCCAGAGGAGGATCCGTCGTATAGTGGAACCTCGGATTCAGGAAAAGCAGTGTGCTTTTCGTCCTTGCTGTGGAACACTGGACCCGCTCTACACCCTCAGCAGGGGTCCTGGAGGGTGCATGGGAGTTTGCCCAACCAGTCCACATGTGTTTTGTGGACTTCGAGAAGGCGTTCAACCGTGTCCCTCGGGGAGCCCTGTAGGGGGTTCTCCAGAAGTATGGGGTACCGGGCCCTTCGATACGGGCTGTCAGGTCTGTATCGAAGTATGACCGGTATCAGAGTCTAGTCTGCATTGCTGGCAATTAGTCAGGCTCGTTTCCGGTGAGAGTTGGACCCCGCCAGGGCTGCCCTTTATCACCGATTCTGTTCATTACTCTCATGGACAGAATTTCTAGGCGCAGCTGAGGTGTTGAGGGGATCTGTTTTGGTGGTCTTAGGATTGCATCTCTGCTTTTTGCGGACAATGTGGTCCTGTTGGCTTCATCGGGACGTGATCTGCAACTCTCACTGGAGCGGTTCGCAGCTGAGTGTGAAGTGGCTGGGATGAGGATCAGTGCCTCCAAATCGGAGCCCATGGTCTTGAGACGGAAAAGAGTAGAGTAGTCTGGGCCTCCCTTCTGAAGCACAGACTTAAGAAGGGAGGCCCATCTATCTATCATGTTTTTGTATGTTTTGCATTTATTTAATTTTTTTTAATTTATTGAGTCAAAATAAAAGAAGATCTGAGAGTGACTATTCCTCTTTTATCTCCCAGTATATAGACAATTCATGTCATCTAAGCTGGTTAAATGTAATTCATATTTTCATAAAAAATATATATTAAATCACTCTTTAAATATTACCAAAATGTTTTACCTTTGACCTTCAGTGTCAAATTTTAAAGCTTCATCCTTGGATCTGTCACTTTTCAAACTCACTGAAGAAGAGTTTGTAGTTTGTTGCCGAGGTAAGCTAGAAGACAGTTAGCAAAATGTATTTTATTAGACAAGTTCTAACAAATCAAAATCAGTTTTCAACTTAAAATATTTAAGAATAACAATGTGATTAAATAAAACATGTAGCATTGACAAATATCTGACCTCTACAATGTAGTTTCAGGACCCAGCTAAGAGTTAAATTCTTAAACTACAAGAATAAAGTCATAATGTTGCAATAAATAATACTCTGTTCACTGTCTACAGCTATTGTTATTTTTATTAAATTAGAAATTATTAAATTAACCATGACATGGGCAGACACGCATATATATGAAAATTATTTCATTTCCATTTTCCGATGAATCCAGGCTAAAATGACACATATTATATATATATATTATATATATATATATTATATATATATATATATATATATATATATATATATATATATATATATATATTTTTTTTTTTTTTTTGTTTTTTTTTTTTTGTTTTGTTTTGTTTTTTTGTTTTAATGTTTGAATTTTGTGGTTTGCACACCCTAGGATAATTGCCTGTTTGGGATATTAAAAAAATAAAACTTTTGCATGAAACAAATTTTTTTACCAGTGGATTGGTGAAACTATCCTTTAACAGGAAGAAAGTTCCAACAGAACCAGAACTTTACTCAGCACAAGCAACCATTAGAAACTCTGCACAGAAATACTCTGAATTAATATGTAACACACAGCAAATTTAAATAATCCACATTTGAGGGTAAAATAAGGTTGAACAAAATTTTAATAGGGAACATCTACAAATTTATTGACTCAAAATAAAAGACGATCTGAGTGTAACTATTCCTCTTTTATCTCCCAGGCTACAGCCAAGTCATGTCTTGTCATCTAAGCTGGTTAAATGTAATTCATATTTTCATCAAAAATATATTTTAAATTACTCCTTAAATATTACCAAAATGTTTTACCTTTGACCTTCAGTGTCAAATTTTAAAGCTTCATCCTTGGATCTGTCACTTTTCAAACTCACTGAAGAAGAGTTTGTAGTTTGTTGCCGAGGTAAGCTAGAAGACAGTTAGCAAAATGTATTTTATTAGACAAGTTCTAACAAATCAAAATCAGTTTCAACTTAAAATATTTAAGAATAACAATGTGATTAAATAAAATGTCTGGCATTGACAAATATACCTCTTGCCGTTTAAAGCCAAGCCCATTTTTTTTTTTTAATTATGAGAATAAAGTTACTATATTATAAGAACAACATCATAATATTACAATGAAATATTAGAATGAAGTTGTAATAGTGACAATAAAGGTGTAGCAATAATAGAATAAAATTATAATATTTCAATAATAAAATCATAATAATATGAGAATAAAGTCATAATTGTAATCATACCTATATATTACAATTTTTACATTTCCTCATATGAATAAGGACATTCTTAGTTATTTAAAACATCAGCATGATATTATTATCAGTAGCAGGACTTTGAAAAAGCTGTGCAAAGGGTAAGGTCTTCAAGGTCTTTATTTCAAAGAAAATGTCAAGGTGAGTGTTGGTGATGAAGACCCAAATGCAGCAGACAGAGGCATAAATTAGATTTTGAAGTTAATAATAATAATAATAATAATAATAATAATAATAATAATAATAATAATAATAATAATAATAAAAGAATAACTAAGACTTTCAAAAAACCCATAAGGACAGAGCCAGAGCAGAACATAAAGAGGAATTCAGCGAAAAGAACGCCAAGGACAGAACTCCCAATACCTCCACTCTTTCAATACTTTGGCCCACTGCGACCTGTGGGAACTAAAAAACTGGCATCTTTTATGGCCATCTCTTTAGGCCATTATAGATACAGCTGCATCTGAAAGAAGCTGCCTCTTTTATTGCCTATTACTGTATAAATTATTAACTTATAACTAAAAATGCTGTTTTTTCTCCTTTTCACTGCTGATGAAGCTACATGCCCACACAACTTGAGTCTGAAACGTTTCGGTTACACGTCTGCTTCATTATTTGATCCTACTCAAAATGCAGATAATGAAGGAAAGCAATACTGTAAATGCTTAACAGATGAGAAATTAACAAAGATCAAGTGAACATTTTATGTGAAAGTAAAAACAATACAAAAAGATAACATTGATGGATGATATAGCAGGGTGTCCTCCAGAAAGGCTCTTTGCATTAAAATAATGTTCAAAAGCTGTGGACTATCTTTTGAGCAGAATTCACTATGTTGGCATAACTAGTGTACATTGCACTGCTTTTTATTGTGTTTTACTAAGAAAATACATAAAATATTACCAAAGTTTCTTACCTTTCATCTTCAGTGTCAAATTTTAAAGCTTCATCCTTGGATCTGTCACTTTTCAAACTCACTGAAGAAGAGTTTGTAGTTTGTTGCCGAGGTAAGCTAGAACAATAGCAAATATTTTTATTAAACAAGTTCTAACAAATCAAAATCAGTTTTCAACTTAAAAATTTAAGAATAACAATGTGATTAAATAAAACATGTAGCATTGACAAATATCTGACCTTTACAATGTAGTTTCAGGACCCAGCTAAAAGTTAAATTCTTAAATTACTAGAATAAAGTCATAATGTTCTAATAAATAATGCTGTGCTCGGCAGTCAACAGCTATTGTATTTTCATTTTATTAGAAATTATTAATTTAACCCTTAAATGGGCAGACATGCATATATTTGAAAATTATTTCATTTCCATTTTCCAGTGCATCTAGGCTAAAATGACACATTTGCGCATATTTAAAAAATTTTTTTTCTTTATTTTAGGATTTGCATCCATTAGGATAATTGCCCGTTGGGGTATAAAAATAATAAAACTTTTGCATGAAACTCAATTTTAAATATCGTACGCAACATATCTACCATGTTTTTTTATGTTTTTCATTTACATTTGTTTTAAATACAACAAATCAGTATTGATTCAATTAATGTAGCATTAATTAGCAAATGTCTCAAGTCAGTTTACAAAACAATTAATTTCAACCCAATCATTCATACTGAGCTTGCATGTAGTGACAGTGGATGGGTAAAACTATCCTTTAAACAGGAAGAAAGTTCCAGCAGAACCAGAGCCTGACTCAGCACAAGTAACGATCTGCCACTACCCTTAGAAACTCTGCACAGAAATACTCTGAATTAATACATAGCACACAGTAAATTAAAATAATCCACATTTGAAGGTAAACAAAGCTTGAACAAAATTTGAATAGGGAACATCTATAAATGTATTGACTCAAAATTGACTCAAGTGTAACTATTCTTCTTTTATCTCCAAGGATACAGACAAGTCATGTGTTGTCATTTAAGCTGGTTAAATGTAATTCATATTTTCATCAAAAATATGTATATTAAATCACTCATAAGATATTACCAAAGTGTCTTACCTTTGACCTTTCAAAGCTTCATCCTTGGATCTGTCACTTTTCAAACTCACTGAAGAAGAGTTTGTAGTTTGGTGCCGAGGTAAGCTAGAAGACAATTAGCAAAATCTTTTTTATTAGACAAGTTCTAACAAATCAAAATCAGTTTTCCCCTTAATATATAAATTTTTACAAAATGATTAAATAAAATGTCTGGTATTGACAAATATCTCACCACTACAATGGCGTTTTAATATTAATATTAAAACTCCATTCAATATTTTTGTTTTTCGTTGTATATATTGACACAGTGGTACCTAAACTATGGATTACAATAAAATCCCCCCAAAACAGAAAAAACAAAATCAACTGGTCACACATTGTTCAACCAGACATAAATTTATACACATATTTTGTTTTCAAAGTCCATTGAGGTTTTTTTTCACACTTTAGGTTGCAACAAACTCTCTACAAACCATCTTTACAGTGAAACACTTTTGTGTAACTGTTTTTTTCCTTCTTTCATTCACCCACACCATTTCCAGCACACACACCCCCTTCTATCCTGCCCAAGGGCAATGGCACTGTGCCCGACACTTTGGGAACCACTGTATTAATATGTTATTGTGGAGGCATTTTCCGATTTGGTGGTTTGTGAGTGTTTGTTAAATGGGTTAAGTTGTCTTCGGCCTGAAAATGTACTGATATAAGATATAGCCAACAATAAAACAAGAACAGCTGGGACAGTAAGAAAATTTTCCTTTGAAAAACAGTAGATTGGACAAAATTAAACAAAAACCACGTATTATTCAATAACATTTTCCTGTATTACAGTATATACTCCACCAAATTGCTATAATTTCCTTTTGTGTTGTATTTATATTCTTTGTTTTGTATTTAATTTGTATTTTTTTGTATTTTGTGTATGCTTACTGTGTGCCACATTTTTGCCTGTGAGCTGCTGGTAACTATAATTTCCTGAGGGAGTCTTCCCAAGGGATCAATAAAGTCAAGTCTAAGTCTAAGTCTAATCTGTCAATTTGTTTCTGCAAAACTTAACAAGAAGGTCAATTTAAATTAAATTAAGAAATAATTACAGTCTCTTTTGGAACCAGTGTCGCATAGTGTCTACAAACAGACTATAGAGTTTGTGGAGTTTTTTCCAAACATTCCACAGTAATACCACTAAATTTATTTAAAACTACTTTTAGGCAAATTGCTGTTTATGGAAGCAAAGTTTGCAAGTTCAGAGAATGGAATTGCTCTGCAAATTAGTCTCCAACAAAACGGTCTTTAAGTTTTAATATGTTGTGACAATATCACAGTATGACTTTCCTTCCTTTACATTGTTCATACTTGACGGAAATCATTTTTTAATGAGAGCTTGCACAGTTAAAAGTGAACACCTTACGATTAAGCTTGTCATTCCATTCACCTATATTCTACATTTTACATTGAATTTTCAATTTCAAATTTAATTTGGGAAAATCCAAAGTTTTCCAAATCAGTTTATCATTATTACTTTTTTCTCTTGATTAAGTTTTTCAGTAAAGAAGAGACTGAAAACAAAAAAGCTTCACTTACCTCCCACCTGACATGATCCCATCCTCTTCCTCAGACATTTTGTTTTAGAGCTCCTCACTTTTCAATAACATTGTATTTTATCTTCATCTGTTACTTCATACTCAACATCTTGCTTCAATATTTTCCTTCTTGCAAAAACATAGTCATAGACACCTGAAAAGCAGCAATCGCTATGATTCAGAAGATCTGTATGAAAGCTTTCTGACTGATGATCAAAGTTGGTTCCAACAGTCACAAAATGTCTGCAAAAGAGAAAAGTTAATATTTAACAGCATTAGAACAAGTAAGAACTTTGGCCTTGATATCTAAATCCAAGAACATTTCCTGTTATAAATCTTGTAGTAGCAAAGTCAAGCATGGAGATTCATTTTAATGTAACCCTATAAACTATAGTTAAGCTCAAAACTGCAGTAACAAATTTCTTACAGGTCACATGTTTTATATTATACCCTTTTAAGTTCATGTCAAATTCAGATCAAGTGTGTTATTCTGCACTACCCTTGTGCTGTATCTGTATATTTTTTTCTACTTTGCATTCTCTTAATGTTCTTTTTGGTGCCAAATAAAGGATAACAAATAAACTCTATTCTATTTCTGTAAGTGTGAAATATCTTGTTAACACACTTACAATATCAAAACATGTGCAAACTGGGTCTGTATTTCAGATGTCTTCCAGACTTCACAGTTTCAGGAGACAAAATAATAATTTAAATTGTTTTTTTTTCATATACACGTAATAATAAAATGTTTAGGGTAAGGGTTAGTGAAATAAAGTTCTTGGACTTGAAAGTCCAAGAATTTTATAAATGTTTTAAAAAAGAAATAAACAGTTAATAACAAACACATTTAAAAAAAAAAAAAAGTATCTTACTTTTAGGTATTCTTACTTCAAAAGCAAATCTAAAAAACCTTAATTTTTGTGAGATGTTACCAACTCAGATCCTTCAGCTTTTGATATCTAAAAACTGGTTCTGTCCTCATTTTCTCCCTCCATCTTGAAATGGCTGTACTCTCTCCTGACATGGATTTAGCAGCTCTAAACAGAGCTGCTTTTGAAATATTAATGAAACACAAATGAAACATTAACAAACATCCTCAATTTTAATGCTGCCACAAGACAAATGTTATGCTTCAATTATTGCCTGTGTTTTCTATGACATGTTTTTATGATGTGAAGCCCTTTGAACTCCCTTGTTGTTGAAATGTGTTGTATAATTAAATTTGATTGACTGATTGACTGATTGATTGATAGTATTCAGCAGGTTGTTTTCCTCTCAGAACAAAGACAGTACTCTGCTCTTCATGGAAAGAGAGATTATGATTCACGATAAGTGTCAATAAAATAACAGTATTATAAAATACTGGGACAATAAATCCTACAGACTTGTTAATCATTTCATTAGTAAATCACTACAATGATTTACTTATGAAGTGATTTATTTACAATAAGAAAATAAGTTACCAGTTCAGAAACTTCTAGGAACTTTTTATTGAAGTTTAGATTGTGGTGATTTTATTCTTTTGCGTTGAGCTTTCATGCATTTCTAGATTGCTAACATTATCTTGTCTTCTATAATCATATGTCCTATTTTATTACATGAGAAGACTTATCAGAAACTGCAGCAACTTTTACATCCAATGAATAAGTTTAATATTGATTAATTATAGAAAGCAAATGTAAGATAAGTTGTGCCTATTTTTATAGTGATTGTTGTGATTAAGATATATTATTTAGAAACTTGTTTTTTCACAAGGTTCCTGCTTTTTCTCAGACTAACTGTAGTTGGCAGTAGCTGTGGTGTGAATTATATGCATGACTGCATCAAGCTACTTTATTTTGGTTACAAGTAGTTTTATAGTAGAGACGTTTCACTGCAGAGGTTTAGACAAACCACATTCACATGATAATAAAACGTCATCCAAGGACAGCTTCAATTTCAAAGGACACACAGACATGTTCTGCAATTCACATTTTTTATTGCACTCATTATCACTTCCAGCTTTTTTTCATAGACATGACCCTTCATGTTTTAGTTTTACTTTTTATGCTGAAGCTTATATCCAATTTTTTAACTTCATTATTTCCTGAAGTTTCATATTTTTGTTTAATCCATTTAGATTAGTTTTCATGCTGAGCACAAAAACATGATGATATTATCTTTGAATTCAAACTACTTTAAGTGAATGCATTAAAGCACAGTTTAACCTTCCACCACTATGTTTAGAACACAAATAAACCACGGAGCCTGAGAACAATACAATTATATTAATTACATTAATATATTAATTGTACTCTCATTCCATGGTTATAAACTTCAGTGTGCTAACCAACTGGTATCATGACATGTCAGCTCCAAAACACACAAAAACTCTTCCAATATATAAGAATTTGATAGCAACAGCAGTGACATCACCAAAGTTGGACATTTTTTAATTTTCTTGTGTTTCATTGCTAACCCACATGTGTACATCTCCATGTACGAGCTTGAAGTTTTACATGCACAAATATTCTTGATGGTTTAGCTGGAGGAGTGCAGCTGATTTTCTCCTCATTGCACAAGATTTTGCTTCTCCATCTTCTCCCAGGGCTACTATTGTCATCTGACTGACTGCACTGCTGGTGGTCAAAAACAATCAGAAGGTACTAGAATTGACAATAAACACGCTACTAAATGTGCATATGGTGAAAAATCAACTTACCTTTCCAGAAAAACTGTTTATTCACTATACTGTGCTGAACATACATGACAGGCTCTGCTGGTAGAAGAGAGCAAACGGAGAAGGTGAAGCGGGGTTGAGCAGGTCATATACAAGGATGATTGACATCGCTGACGCCCTCCTCCTGACTGTTTGGTCATTTCTAGTTAGCACTGGGAGCATAGTGCTGAGGCCTGTGATATCACAATATACTGGACGTTTTAAAAAATATGTAAAAAAAGTTGTTTTTTTATAAAATTTACATTCTGCAGCTTACTGCACCCACTTATTCAGGTCAGGAATGCGGCAGAAGGGAAACACCTAAACCAGTGATCCTCAAAGCCAGGCCTTCAGGGCCGGTGTCCTGCAGATTTTAGATACGTTTCTGCTTCAGCATACCAGAGTCAAATAATTAGGTAATTAGCAGGACTCTCAACAACTTCACTGCACACTTAGTAGATCAGCCACTGGACAGAGTTGTGTAGAATCAGGGACACATCAAAATGTTGAAGGTCATCGGGCCTTGAGGCCAGAATTTGAAAATCCCTGACCTGACCTGTTTTCAGAACTCAGAGCTGACTCTATTTGTTACAAAAGACACAAAAACATGCACCCCCTCCTCATCCCACCCCACACACACACACCCACACACACACACACACGCACACACACACACACACACGCACACCCCCCCCCCCACACACACACACACACAGGGCTTTGTAGTAAATAGTTATTTATTAACTATACAGCACATGTTTATATTTTCAAAGATTTTAAATTACTTCATGTTAAAATATAGTAAAAATAAATGTATTGAACTCTGAACAAGTTAAAAATATATTTTAACAAATGTCTTGGGGGAAAAATAATAAAATACATGTTTTCTCAAGGAAAGGGGAAAAAAGCTAGATGTCATTTTTATCAATCAGCAAATTTGTTGTCAACAAAGAATAAAAAGGTACAATTAACATATCATTAATTTGATCAAATAGTTTAAATAACATGCTTGTATTTGTAAAAATTTAAAATGTGCATTACAAATTAATTAATAATAAAAACATAAAAACAATAAAAACTTTTGACTGGTTTAAAGTAAAAGTACAGAACCCTGTCTATAAAATAATAACAAATCCAGCAGAAAAAATGTTTCACATAGTATAAAATATTCAGTCTAAATTTACTTAGCCTTCAGAGATGCTTTAGAATCTACTTTTATTTTAGTTCTCACATTCGCCACAAACATAAAACACATTTCTTGTTCAGTGAATCTCCAGCCTTTAAAAGCCTTTAGCCTCACATAGTAAAAACATTGAACAGCTGTGAAGTTTCCCAGCAATATTAGTGTGGCGACGACTCATCAAAAGTGTTTTTTTTCCACTGGCAATTTAAGTCTTCACTGATTAATGTGTGGTTCAGTTTTACCCCAGGAGGTGATGTTTTCCATTATCCACTCTGTTCCTCTCTCCTGTTGGCAGGACGTGAGCAGCAACTGTGGTCAACTGTCTGCTGATGTTTGCAGCGACACTCAGCGATGGAGAACTTCTAGGTTCTGGTTCTGATTAACTCAGATAAACCCAGATATTTAATTTTGTCTTATATAAATTAATTGCTAGACTCTGATCAGCTGATTATTTAGCGATACATATAAATATAATTACCGTTCTTCAGAGCAATACACTGCTAAATCATGCATTCTGCTGCAAAACTTAATGCAAGTTCCTGGTGATGCTTCTTTCTAAGCAGCTCTCTGATAACAGTCACCATGTATGCAGTTCACAGCTAAACTATAATAGTTTTGGGAGTTTTCAATGAAATAATTCACGAGACAATGAATCAATGTGGTCAGCTGTCAATCAAATTGTTTAGGTGCCAAACCCTACTTGCTGCTAGTACTACCCCTGACGTAAGTATAAAAATCTGAGAACAGCTAGGCTGAAAGCTGATGGAAAATTAATCTGATACTGTATTGATTAGAGGCGACCTAGTTGAATAGCACCTAAAAAAGTTTCAAAAGACACCACAACGGCATTCAAAAAAACTATCTCAGTTAAGGTCAGAGGCCAGGCCTCTGCCATCAGAAAATGACTTATTTAAAATATGCCAGCAAAACACCACAAGAAGAAAACCACTGGAATTTTTCCTCTCGTAATAATAAACACATTCATTTATAAACTCCATTTTGTGTCTAATTGTGTTGTCGTTGACTAATATGTAAATTGTTTAATGTTCTGAAATATTGAAGTTTAACAAATATGCAACAAAATGAAATCAGAAAGGGGCAAACACCTTTTCATACCACTCTAAATGCTTACAGTCTTTTTAACTTGTGCACTCATAAATCTACAGGTCACACAAGGTCACAGAACCTTTCTCAAACCAGAAGGCTGGAAATAGCTCTGCTGTGAATTTTGCTGTGAATGTATGAATCAAGCTTCTCTCCTCTGACGTTATATTGTAGTAACTTAGAGTTCCTCCCTCCCAGTCAAGAAATACACCTATT